TATACATGATTTTAATTTAAAATTAATATTATAAAATCTCATTTTTTAAAATTAGGTATCCATAATCATCAATGTACATAGCATCCAATCATCTTATATGATTTTTCAAAGCATTTTTCAACAGAACATATAACTAAGACTTAAAATATAGAACTAATTTTATGGCAGCTTAAAAAGAAGATTTATTATTGATTTTTTTTTTTAGCAATTCTTAAAAATAGAGCAATATTTGAATCAAATACACGTATTGGTAAAGGTGCACTAAAAAAACACAAAATTTAAAATTAAATTTTTGGATTTCATAGTACTTCATTTCTATTTTTTACAGCATTCTTTAATTATTAATATATATTCATAATTTTTTTTTTATTAAATACAAAAAAAATGATTATATTGAAATTTTTTAAAACACAGATATTAAAAGTGGATTCTATCTTAGCTTTTTGAAGAATTTCTTTATGGATGAAGATGTTTTTGATCGAAGTAAATTTAGTTTAAAAAAAAGTTTAAGAATAAAAACATAAAACATATATAATAAAAATTGAATATAAAATTTTGCATTTTCTTTATTTATTTATGTACTAAAATTATATTAATTTAGTTTTAAGATAAAATTTTCTTTAATAACAATAACAAAAAAAATCGCTATTTTAAACATTATTAATTCATATTTATTCGATTTTAAAAGGAAATTTAACAAATTTGGTTAATAAAATAGAAAAGAAATTTTATCTAGTAATTATGAGAACATTTTTTTATACCCGTACGAACGTATGTTCGAAGGGTATACTAAATTTGCCTTACCGTTTGTAACGCTAAGAAATAACGGTGTTAGATATAGACTCAAGTGTATGTTTTTGATCAGCGTCAAATTCTGAGTTGATTTAGCTTTGTCTGTCCGTCCGTCCGTCCGTCCGTCCGTCCGTCCGAACGATAACTCAAAAACTAATTGAGCTAAGTTCACCAAATTTTCACAAATGATTTATTGTAGTAAGTGCCAGAACCCTATTTAAATTGGACATGATCGGGGTACCGGTTCGGGTAGCTGCCATACAACTTCAAAATTTATTTGGCTATATCTCAGAAACTATAAAAGTTATGGTATTGAAATTTCACACAAACGAATATATTAGTAGGGCCAATGTCTCACATAAAAGTCGTTGAATTTACTTGGCTCCTTCTGGTACCTGCCATACAACTTGCAAAATTATTTGGCTATATTTCAGAAACTATTAAAGTTATGGTATTGAAATTTCACACAAACGAATATATTAGTAGGGCCAATATGTCACATAAAAGTCGTTGAAATTACTTGGCTCCTTCTGGTACCTGCCATACAACTTCAAAAGTTATTTGGCTATATCTCAGAAACTATAAAAGCTGTGATATTGAGATTTCACACAAGTGAATATATTAGTAGGGCCGATGTGTCTCGTAAAAGTCGTTGAAATTACTTGGCTCCTTCTGGTACCTGCCATACAACTTCAAAAGTTATTTGACTATATTTGAGAAACTATTAAAGCTATGGTATTGAAATTTCACACAAACGAAAATATTAGTAGGACCAATGTGTCTCATAAAAGGTGTTGAAATTACTTGGCTCCTTCTGGTACCTGCCATACAACTTCAAAAGTTATTTGACTATATCTCAGAAACTATAAAAGCTGTGATATTGAGATTTCACACAAGTGAATATATTAGTAGGGCCGATGTGCTTGATAAAATTCGCTAAAATTTCTTGGCTCTTTCTGGTAGCTGCCATACAACATCAATAGTAGTTTGGCACAACCAGTATTTTGAATAACACATAGTACTGAAATTTTGCATAAATTAATATGGTAATACGGCAACTTAAAGTCATAGTCTGCCCCATAGTTAGTTATGGCACATTAGTTATTCGCACATACGATAACAAATTCGTACGGGTATCACAGAGTTGACAAGGTCAACTCTATTTTTTTTCTCGTTTCATTTTAAAATTAATTTTATTTAATTATTTAATAATAAATCTGTTTAAATCATCTACATATATAAGAATTTGAAAATTTGAAGTTTGTCCGTTTTATGTTAACATTTAATAAATAGAATTAGAATTTATTTAATAATTTTTTTTTTAATTTTTTAATAACAATAAAGTTTTTTTTTACATACAAACATCGTACTTCATATAATAATGAAAGTAAGTAGGTAACAAAAATTGCTATTAAAAATTAAATTTTTTAAAATATGATTAAAATCGATACTTTAAATATTTTAAACATTATTAAAATTATGAAAATCTACTAAGTATTTTAAATTTTATTAAAAATTTATACCATTTGTTAGAATAAAGGCATCAAAATGAAAAGTACATGACCGATTTTCATATTGCATTATGAAAAAAAATTTTAAATATTAGAAATAAATTTAACAAAATATTTGTTAATATTAGTTAACAAAATAAACAATAAATAAAATTTAATAGAAATAATTGATAATTTTAAATTTCAATCTAATTGTAATATACAAATTTCATTAAAAAGATATGTACAATTTGCATTATAAAAGAATTTTCTAAATTTTTTAATTTTTTTCTATATTTGGTACTATTAAAATGGTTTAAGGTTTGTTATTTTAAAATCAATACTTCGTAAATTTTATAATAATGCACAAATATAATTTGAAAATTATGATATTTTCTTATTTTAAATTTAAAAACATATATTTAAAAATACTGTAAAAATAAATTTTTCTCTTAATTCAGTTTTTTACAAAAAATTACTTTTAATTCAGTTTTTCGCTTCGCTTAATTATTTACGTAAATTTGTCAAACTGTTTGCCTTCTGAAACAAATAATTTTATATTATATAAATTATATAAATAATATTAAAAGTTTTTATTTAAGATAATTAATATTAAAATTTTGCAGTCACACAATAATTCAAATTTTCTTATAAAAAGGAAATAAATTTGTTAAACATCATTATATAAACTAAATGTTATAATAGAAATATTAAAATATAGAAATAAGTAAAATTTTGTAATGGTAATGAATAAAGTATTTTGTTTTTAAAAATAAAAGTATTTAAGTAAGATTAATAATTATAAATGCACTGAATTTCGTTTATTTTTAAATATTATTCCAAAAAAGTAGTATTGCATTTTTAATTTTTGAATTGAACTGTATACATTAAATGTATACTCCAAACACTCCAAAAAACTCCAGACACATACTGAATTTCCACAATTCTCAGTCCTTTCTTTTCCCAGTTTTTCATGCAATTTTTAAATGTCCATACCTGATATTTCATACTTGCTTTAAAATTTCTAAAAAATTAATGTCTCATAGAATTATTAAAACTTAAATAATTTTCTGTAATAAAAAAAATAAAACTTTAAAGTAAGTATATGTATTAAATAAATATTACAATCTTTTTTTAATTTTTATATATTTTTATTTCTCTTTATTCTTTAAGAACATTTATTATAATTACAATTGATAAAATATAAACTTAAATATTATGAAATAAATTTTATTTATTCAATTTAATAATAATTGTTATACATTTAAAAACTACTTATTTTGAATTAACAATTTTATATTTTTGTATTTTGAAAAAACTTCTTTATGAAAGTAATTTCTCGATGAATGTAACATTAAGTAAGACACACCATATCCATATTTATACACAACATTTATTAAACATAAGAACAAACATATAATTATGTATACACTCATTTCAGAAATTATTTCAAATATTATTTGCCATATTCTTTTCTTTTCTTTAAAAAATGTATAGTGCATAAATTATGTGAATAAAAAAAACATTGTTTAAACCCAATATATTTTCACTTTTATAAGATAATTAAAAAAAAAAAAAAAACAAATAAATAAAAGACATGTTCATTTAAAAAAATCAATCCCTAATTATTTACAAAATCAAAATATTTATTTTACAATTTATTTATCTAGACCTGATAAATTACTTAAGTTTCCATACACCATTAATTAATTTCAAGCACTAATTATTTAAGATCACTTGCGCTTAAATTTTGATAAACCTATTTAAGTAAATATATGAATTATTTTGACCATAGACGCCAGTTAGTTTTTACTTTTTTATCATGTATACAGATACATATATATTTCATTTAGAATTACATATAAAATAAATAATTCTATTAAATAGTAGTATGTATACATTAACATACTAAATTATTTCTTGTACTATTATTCTTTATTACGATTATGTTTGAAATTTTATATTATCAAAAAATACTCTTCAATTAAATCTTTAATCGTCATAACTTTTGTTATATTTTTAACTTATTTATAAATTGATGTACTGTTAAAGAATGAAAGCATTCTAAGTTGATTTATGCAATTTAAATCAGTATTTAATTTTTTTTAAATATTTTTTTTTTGTAATATATTATTAATGGGTATGTATACATGCTAGATAGTATTGCTGATTAACTGATAATATGCTTCTTATATCTAACAGCAAACTTTTTGAAATGAAATGCATATTTTTGTAAAATAATAAAATTTAAACACATGATTTTTTGCAAAATTTTACACATACGATTTATATGGCAATGGAATTTTCTAAATTCAACATGAGCGTATACATATGTAAATAATTATTTATACACATTTTATTCATCTGAAAAATTTTTATGGAAAATTCAAATTTTAACTTCTGAAAGTACACATGAAACTTAATTTTTTGTAATATGTAGTGTGAAATTATTTAATATTATTATGATCGTCTTATAGATTCAATAGTTTCAACTACTTATAGTATATATATATATATAATAAAATTGTAAAACATTTCTTATATTTTAATTTATGCACTCAATCTTATATTTCTATTTATTTGTAAAATTATTTTTAAAAGTTATTTATTGTGTTATTCATTAGTATTGTAAAACATATTTTTTTTTTCAAAAGAAACTTTATTTTAGATTTACTTCAGCAATTTAAATGCCACCAGATTTTTTAAGGTTCAACAGTTTTTGTGAAAATTTTTCATTTACAAAAGAAATCTCATTACATGCTTTTGATTTAGTAACACAATTGAAGGTAAGAAACATTCGCGAGTTTGTAAAAATCCAAAGACTTTATGAAATTTTAATTTACCGCCTTTGATCAAAATATTAATGGAACCTAATTCATGGCATCTCAAACAGTTTAAAATTTAAATTATTTTCACAAAAAAATACTTCTGATTATAAATATCTAAATACAGAAACTTTTAATCTTTAGTAATATTTTGATATTCCATTTTACGACATAAATAACATTTTTCATTGCTACTAATATTAAAAGTGCGCTATTATTACGTTAACAATGATAATTTTGAAAATAGGTTTAAATGTCAATTTAAAACAAATTTTACAAACAATTTTTTTATTGTTTCAGCCACTCATCGTTAAATTATGTAAAAATGATAGAAAAAAAAATCCATTTAAGTGAAAAATGCAGTTTTGATTGTAAAAAATTTGCAGATTTTAAATATTTAAAATTATTTTAATGCAACAAAACAATTATCTAACTCAATATCTTGAAATTTGGGTAATTAGTTAAATACGAAATTCAAAAATTAACCGGTTGCCCTTTTTACAAAATAAAAAATAAACTCAGCTGAACTGAACTTAATACTTAAGTAATAAAGTTAGCTAAATTTCATAACTATCAAATCACAACAAGTTTAGCTAATTGAAAAATTATGATTTTATAACCAATCTACATTTCCTGCATTATTTTTTTTTTTTTGTGAAATCTGCATCGGTGGAAAATTTACATTCTGTTAGAACTTTTATTTGGAATTTTTGGTGGTTTAACACTCTATTTACTAAGTTCAATAATAAGGGTCCATTATTTAACTGTGACTAAACTTAAGCTATACTTAATAAATATTCCTATGTAGTTTCAATTGTTTCCAATCAATTGTTTTAAATTTCATTATAAAACCACACTATCATATAAATTTTTTTACTGTTTGCTGCACAGTTTTACTATAATGTGGTTCATTAATATAACGATCACCGGTACATAACATAGTGTTATTAGTAGAGGTAGACCGTGTGTTATTTGAATTTGATATTGCTGAACTAAGTGTGGAAAAAGAATTATTGAAAAATGTTGTCGAATGTTAGAAGAGGCGTTTTTCATAACTAAAGAGACCATGAACATTTCCTTCTATTTGTGCTGATTGTGTACGTTTCATAAATCTTAATTCTCCAGAATCAATCATATCTATTAAATCTTTTAATGATTTAGCTCCTATGTCTTGGCAACTATGTTGTAAACCGCACTCCAAATATGGTAGAAAACGTAAAACAGAACCTTTATCGGCAATACTGCCGCTGACACCCTGAGCTATTTTTAATTTGTCCATTTCAGTGTGATAATAACGACTTAGTGCTCCCTTACCATCTTTACGTTCCATTGCCTCTAAACTTCCCATACCACGATACTTCTTCAGGCGAACGCCTTCAGAAAAGAAATATTCTCCTGGTGCTTCAGATGTGCCAGCTAGTAAGGAACCCATCATTACTGCTGAAGCTCCTAATGCCAAAGCTTTCATTATATGTCCTATAGATTGAATACCCCCATCAGCAATGACGGGAACACCAAATCTTCTTGCATACGCGGACACTTGATATACAGCAGTTGCTTGCGGACATCCACAAGCCATCACCTCTTGTGTTATGCAAATTGAACCACTTCCCATACCAACACGCAGTCCGTCAACACCAGCTTCAATTAAATTTTTAGCTTGTGCTCTTGTTACAACTGTAAATAAAAAAAACGAAAGAACAAATGGAACTTTTTGTAACTTTAATAAAGAAAGGTAATTTTATATTTGGAAAGATTATTATTTGGAATAATTACTAACAACCATAATATTAAGCGATTTGTGCAGAAAAATACATTACATAATTTGCTTCTACTTCTTGTTTTTTCATGAAAGGTAAACAGCTCAGAGATACGAATAGCCAAGTTTTCTGAATATTATTACAATTTTGCATATCACATAATTTTATAATTCAATGACAAATAATTGTGCATACAAAGCTTATAAGAACAACAATTAAAACAAACAAAATACCTACTCATTTCTTTCGAAAAGAAGATATGACACATTTTTTGATACACCATGCATGATTGAAAAATAAAATACAAAATTTTAAATTGTAATTTTTAATTTAAAATTCTAGAACACTTTTTTATTATTATTCTAAAATATTAGAATAATAATAAAAAAGCGTCCGAAACTTTTGTTACTAAAAACTAATTTGCAATTCCACAGGATTCAAAATTAGTTTCTATTAACATCGTATGAATATCAAGGTTATCTAGATTGCTGAAGCTGCTTTTCTCAATCAAGTGCTAACAACGAAATACAAGACAATTGTATATGTAAATTACAAGAAAATAGTTTCTGCAAGCTTTTAATAATTTTTTTTATTTCTTTATTCAACCAATTATATCTCAATAAGATAAAACCATGTTCTTCTTGGCTAAATCAAATTTCATATTTAAAACAACAAAATTTTAAAACGCTATTTTAATAATATTATAAATTTTAATAATGTTCAACGAAGTAACGTAGTTTTTTTCATAAGTAATTACTAATTAGCTATCTAAACTAATTACTTATAAAACAGAACAAGTAGAATGACCACTAATAGAAAAAATTTTATATCTACAATAAAATTTTAGAAGTTATTTGTTAAACACAAAATTTGCTTACAAGAATTACAAAATAAATAATTGGCGACAATTATTAAAAATCTATCATGAAGAGTGTGGTCAAAAAATATTTCCAAAACTTAATTGCAGGTGTAATTAATTTAAGTCATAAAAAAGAGAATAAAATAGCACTATCACGAAATACGCAAAAAAAAAAACCAAGAAAAAAATTGCGTGACCTATTAACATTATAGTAACTGAAAAAAAATAGGTATCCAGTTATTTATTGAAAAAGAAAATGAATTTCAAGGGCTTATCGAATATTAAAATATATCATAAATTATCTTGTCGTAAAGATATTTACCATTTCCACCAATAACTTGCAATTCAGGATACGTAGATTTAATATACTTGATCATTTCAACTTGATATATTGAGTTTCCTTGTGAAGAATCCAAAACGATAACATCAACACCATTTGCAACTAACAATTTCAATCTATCCTTATCTTCTGGTCTAGTCCCCATTGCTGCTCCAACTAATAATTGCTTATTACTATCCTTAGATGCATTGGGGTAACTTCTTGCTTTTTTTAAATCAGTACGAGCAATTAAAGCAACTAAATCTCCGTTTTCATTTACAATGGGTAATTTTCCTTTTTTGCTTTTTTCTAAAATATGATTTGCTTCTTGCAATGTTACACCTTTTCTTGCTGTAACCATATCTTCAACTTTTGTCATTATATCACCTAATTTACAATCAAGTTGCCCCTCACGGAAATCAATATCGCGTGATGTTACAATACCTAACAATCTACCACCAATTTTGCCATTACATGTAATTGGATATCCAGTAAAACCATTTTTACGTTTAGCTTCTAAAACATCTTCTACAGTATTTTCAGGTGCCATAACTAATGGATCACGAATAAAGCCATGTTTATATTTTTTCACTTTATGAACCTCATTTGCTTGATATTCTGCGGTACAATTACTGTGAATAATACCAATCCCACCACAAAGCTAAAAAGATACAAACAAAAATAAAAAACAAAAATTGCGGTTTATCTAATTGAGTAATTCCAAAGATAATTGAATGATTATTCAAATTTAAACATTTTTCTTTGGATAATAAAAAAAACTAACAATAATTATAAGACGACTTGTCTATACAAAATTAAAATACTTTAGTTATATGCGAACTACATATATTTGATACATTTTTCATTTGAATTATGGGTACACAAACTTGTTATGTAGGAAAAGATCAATTTATATATTTGCACAACATTCAATAGTTATGTGTATTTAATTACATCAAAAATATTAATTACTCAATGATAAGTTAACCTATACAATGATAATTAGAAAAATTTTGCACACTTATTCTACTTGTTAGATTCTTGATGAAATATTTTTAAATAAGGTTTTGAATTATGTATAGTATTACAACTTACTGCCATCGCAATTGCCATATCAGATTCTGTTACAGTGTCCATTGGAGAAGAAACGAGAGGTGCCCTCAAAGAAATGTTTTTTGTCAAAGGTGATGTCAAATCTACTTCTTCTGCTGTAAAATCTATGTAGCCAGGTAAAATAAGAAAATCACTGAAATTGAAAAAATATGTCTCGTATTTTTTATAAATTTCAATCATGTGAAATAAAATTACTTATAAGTCAAACCATCACTTGTTGCAAATAACTCATCTCTAGATAAACCATCTTTCAGGTCTAAATCCATGTGGTTGCTAATAGTGTCACCATTTCTCGGATTCATATTAGAATTTAGATACAAATACCAACCTTACTCTTCAATGATATATATCGTTCTGACTGGTATTCAAATAAAACGTCAAAGAATTTATTATTTATGTCTACCACTATAGGTATAAATATTTTTCAATGAACACACTACTATTTATTTTATGGCTTCTATTCAAATAGAAATAACCAAACTATTAAAAGTTAATGAACGCAAATATAACCTACTTCAGCAGCGGTGTTACTTTATACATATAAATTTCTTTTCATTTCTGTAAACTTGTGCTACTTTTGACGTTTTAGGTATTTGATATTATTGCCAATTGTCAAAATGCACGTGTATACAGAAAAATATTATAACAGCAAAGGCAACACTTGAAACTTGGCAAAATATAATTTTTAAAACTGAAATTTCAAGTACAATAGAATTATATTTAGTACAAAAGAATTAATTTTAGTACGTAGAATTTTATGATTTATGGCTTTTAAAGAACTAACTACTAGCGCCATGGTTTTTTCGTTTACTTTACTAACATAATTTTTTGTATCTTGGGAAGAAAGTAAAATAAGAAAAGAAATCATAGTAGTTACTTTGTTCAACCGCGTGATATGGTTGTAATTTTCCTTTAATTTTCTAGTTGTTGAAAATGGGGCAAGAGCGATTTCCGCGGCGAAATGTGAAAATTCACACAGAATACGCATATGCATTTAATTGGGACTGTCCAGAATCCAGTGAAATTCCCTATTATATAGGGAATTGTGGTATAATACAGATTTATTATTGATAATAAATCTAGGGATAATAATAAAAATAGGGATTAATATTAATAATAAATCCCTACAATACCGCTGGGGTTTTTTTTAACATTATCTGTTTTTATGTATGTGTAACATTATAATGTGAAATACGGTACAATTGATTTTGCCGTCCTCTGTTTCTGCGTCAACAACGGATATAATGCACCGTTACCGTTCACCGTTATGGTTCTGTTTCTACGAAAGCTTGTCTTCATTCTGTTAAAACGAACTTAAAGTGAAAAATTTTGCCTTTCAAAAATATACATACTTTAGGTCAAATATTGATGGCCCTGATAAATGATTTAAGACAGTTACTAACATATTTTATTGTCTTTTACAGTAAAATGAAATTTTGAGTACCTAAACTAATAAATTTCACAAATGCGATATTCCACTCACTCTTTTCACAATATTTCATGTTTCATTCTACACAAAAATTTCACTCACCAATACTTTCCTACAATTTTTAGTTTTTAGATCTGTAGTTTTATTTATTACTATAAACCTTTCTATCGGTATGTGTTTTAAATATGAAAAAATTTTAATTTCTATGCACTAAAATTTGAATGCATTTGAAAGTTTATGAAGAAAATATTCAGAAAATCCACTACATTTTTTTTTTCAAAATACGATTCATGAATTTATAAAATTGCAGCACTGTTCAACAATGAAATTCAACAATAGTAAATGTCAATTAGCTTCGTTGTATTCGGATTTGAAAAGAAAGTTTTCTTTTTTAATGGAATAACTTGCCTCGTTCATTCAGTTTTTGAGTTTATCCAAGACAACTGCAAATAAAGTGAGTAAATTTATTATAAAAAAAAAATTTAAATTTAATTTTGAATTAAATTTTTTTTCATAAAAAAAAAAGACGTAAATTTAATAGAGCTTAAATTTTTGTTCATCTTAAATTGTGAACATAATAAAATTTTAATAATTTTAAAATAAAAAAGTAACTTTGATATTAACCTATTCATACCAAAAACAAAATGGCGTAAATTATTTTCACGTGTTGCAGAAGTAAAAATATTTAGGAGATTATAATTAATTTAAACATTTTTTTGTTTTCAAGTTAGTTTAAATTGAGTTTATAATCGAAAGAAATTTTTTATGATAAAAGATACAATTGATCTTAAAAAATGGCGAATTTTCATAGACCACGTGTCTTCAAATATGTAGTTTGAGTAGCATATTAAATTTACGTATTTTTCTATATGATGATAAACATGGCTTTCCTTTTGCGGTTTCCACCAGAAGAGTTTTTTTAAAACTCTAAAGATGGCCTAGGACGTCTGACTTTAATTAGAATTTCATGTATTAATAATTTGTAAAGTACATTAGCTAATTATAACTTTGATTTCAGAATGGCGGACGCAGCTCCAGCCCGTGGTGGTTTTCGCGGAGGTTTTGGTGGACGTGGCCGAGGTGGTAGAGGAAGAGGTCGTGGCCGCGGTAGAGGACGTGGTCGTGGTGGAAAAGAAGATTCAAAAGAATGGAATCCAGTCACAAAATTAGGTCGCCTAGTCCGTGAAGGAAAAATTCATAATTTGGAGGAAATTTACTTATACTCTTTACCTATTAAAGAGTTTGAAATTATTGATTTCTTTTTGGGCGCATCATTAAAAGATGAAGTATTAAAAATTATGCCTGTACAGAAACAAACTCGAGCTGGTCAACGTACTCGATTCAAGGCATTTGTTGCAATTGGTGACAACAATGGGCACATTGGCTTAGGTGTTAAATGCAGTAAAGAAGTAGCAACTGCAATCCGCGGTGCTATTATCTTAGCTAAGTTATCTGTAGTACCTGTACGTCGAGGATATTGGGGTAATAAAATTGGTAAACCCCATACAGTACCATGCAAAGTAACAGGAAAATGCGGTTCAGTATCAGTACGTTTAATTCCAGCCCCTCGTGGTACTGGAATTGTATCAGCTCCTGTCCCTAAGAAACTTCTTACTATGGCTGGAATTGAAGATTGCTACACTTCTGCACGTGGTTCAACAGGTACTTTAGGTAACTTTGCCAAAGCAACATATGCTGCAATTGCCAAAACCTATGCATATTTAACACCAGATTTGTGGAAGGATAATCCACTTGGCCGTACACCGTACCAAGAATATGCAGATTTCTTAGCGCAAACCCATAAACCAGGCGTAAGATCCATCGAAGCCTAAAATAAATATTACTAAACAAAATAATTTCATAAATTTTTAATTTATGACATAAATAAAGAAAATCAAAACAACAATTTTATAGTTTTATTACTTGCACGTGCAGTTTAAAAAATGTCCAAAGAAATTTAGCTGCTATCTTATCGTAAAGTGTACTAGTTTAATTTTGCTTCATGGAGTAAAGTACATGCAACTGTAAATTAATATTTAACTTGTAAAATTAAAGATTTGCTTGAATTTTTGGCAATGTTCAAGAATTGTTTTAATTCGAATGGAATATGCGCATATGTATAACCAAAAAATTAAAAATCAACGAAATAAATGCCTGAATTCTTCGGAAGAAGTTTTAAATCAATTTTGGTATAGTTAAGAACCTGAAATTATAAAATTTTATGTTTTTTGTCTCTAACGAATTTTAATGCCCATTAATTTTTTATTAAAGGGCTCCCCTTAACATTAGCATAAATTTGAGCATTATAGATATTACCGGAAAAAACAAAACGACGATTTTGAGTTTAAATTTTTTTTATGCATTAGAACTTTTTCTAAATTTTTATTAGGAAATTTTGAAATTCAATAATTTCCAACTTTCATAACGAACTGGAAATATCAAACAAAGGAGCATGAATGTTTTTATCTCACCAGAATTTTCTGAAAAATCTTATTACTCATTTTGAATACGATATATTTATTGAAAAAGGCAAAAACTTCATTTAAATCTCTCTCTCATTGCGGAGAATTGTCAAATTGAAATGTCATTTTAATATCATATATTTTTTCGGAAAAATCATCGAAGCTGGTAAAACGAGCAAAGTTTTGTGATTTTATTAAAATTTAATAAAATCACAAAATAATCTATCGTGGTTTGCAAACGAACAATTAAAAAAAGTGCTATAAAAGACAATTAGTTTTTAGAAAATTATAAAAAAAAAATTTAAAAAATGGAAAAAAGAATAAAATTTTCTGGTAAAAGAAAAAGATGCATAGTCCAAAATTGTGATTCTCATTTGAAAAAACAAGACGTTTCTCATCATGTGTATGTAAATATTATTTATTTTAAAAATTAAAAGAAATATTCATTAGTGCTAAGTTTAATTCGTAATTCGTAAATTTATTAAGTTTTTTTGTGAAAGAAAACATTTGTTTTTGTTTTCTTTTAAAATAAAATTATCGCGGTTGACATATGTAATAAAACAACCAGGAGCGGAATTATTTTTTAAGCAAAATAGTTTGTTTTTAATAAAATGTACAAACATACGATATTTAAAATAAACTATTTTATATATATTTACAGCTTTCCTAAAAATGAAGAAATTAAAAGAAAGTGGATAGCACTTATCAGTACAGAAGATTTCATTCCAAAAGTTTTGTCAAATAGTACAGTATGTTCAGAACATTTTGATTCGAGTTTTAAAAAGAAATTATGCGGCAAAGTTTATTTAACACCCGATGCTTTACCTAATTTTGATGTAATAAATATATATATATATACATATATTTTAAACTTTTCGTTAATATTTCCCTTTATAGAGTGAATATTTAGACAAAGAAGTTAATGAGGATGAATTGATGTTGCATGCAGTAAGTAAAATAAAATATTAGTATGAATGATACATAAAATTTATTTATCGTTTTAGAATGAATTCATCAATGAAGAAGAATACGACAACCCACCATCTACTTCGGTGAGTAATAACTAAAATATTAATTTAGGTAAATTTGTTTAAAGTTATTTTTCTTTTAGAGTCATTTGGTATCCGAAATTCAAAAAGTTAATGAAACGTCTCAAAAAGTTAATGAAACGTCATCAAAAACCGGAACATTGCAAATAGAACCTAACGCAGTAAAGAATATCATAAAACAATTCAAGAAAGAAAAATCAAAAACGAATAAATTAAAAACACTTTGTAAGAAAAAAACTAAAAATTTAAAAGTGATGCAGCAACGAAGACGTAGAAATAAAAAAAAGTTAGAAATCTTATATAAGCAGCTTGCGGAGCTTGAACAAAAAAAGTTAATTGCTTCAGACATCAATAAAATGATCTCTTCCAGCTTACTTAAGATTATAGATTCTTTGTAAAATGTTAATTAAAAAAAAAGCAAAAATACAATAATTTTACTTTAATTTTAAAGTGAATGTACCAAACATATTTTCATATTAGAATAGAACATGAATTAAAATTGTCAACTAAAACCATGATAATATTGGGAATTTTTTAACAAAACATGTATGTTCATTTTTAGGGACAGGGAGATATTATCATATTATTTATAACATATATATAACATATATATAATATATATGCATATATATAATATATATATAACATATATATAATATATATATAACATATATATAATATATATGCATATATATAATAATTTAAGTTCAACTTATGAAACAAATTTGTTCAAAGAGAAAAAAATTATTCAGATGAGTTGTTTAAAATTGAATTTTTTTACAATTAATGAGATGAGATTTGTTTAAAATTTATTTTTTTTTACAGATACTTAAAAAAAAAACAAATATTTTAAAACATTTTTAATTTTTACTTAAAATTAAAAAAATGGTTTTAATTAACATATCTTTCTTACAATTTAAACATATTATATAGTAAAGGCCACTTAAAAAAGTAAAATAAATACGCCCCTGTTATGAGTGTGACATTGCTCGGAAGAAAGAAAAAAAAAACTAGAAAAAATTTAGATTCAATGTCTTTCCAAGATGCTCCTCCTATTACGTTTTTTGGTTCGTTGAGTTTTCGTAATATGCACGAAAATCAGAGGAATCTAGAAATTGGAACTGAGCTGTTTTTTATTTCAATTTTTGGCGGAAAATTGTTTTATACTGCCAGTCTACGTTTAATACGTCTATTGTACACGCATGTTCAAAATGGCTAATTAGTAACAAGAAAATCGAAACAAAATAGCATAAAAAGTGTAAACATAATCACCCATATTCTATCGCATGTATATGTATGATTCTAGTAATAGTTGACGTAATAATAGGTCTGTTTGGTATACGAAAGTTTTTAAAAACTTTATAAAATTTTTGCATGCAAAGCATCTAGGATAACACTTTTTGAACAAAAATGGGAGAAAATGATGACATTTAAGTTTTCCATCTGGTTTATTTTTTTTGTCTTTTTACGAGAGATTTCGTCATTGTTTTTCTTTTTAAAGTTTTTTCAAATTTTACCCCAGAGAGCCCTAATTAAAAATGGTACCAATATTGACGTGCGGCAAGTGTGAAAATCCTCTCGTGTTCTCAAATCAAGCTAAATTGCTGCCGCGAATTTTATCGCTAGCGGTGAAATAGCGATATCACCCTATTTTACCCCTGGCGGCTTTTTTGAGTTACGACTTTACCTGGTTGTGCGACGTTATAAGCAAAATACTACATAATTGATTTTACGTATGCATTTCGTATTCCTGTTTGAAGTATTTTGGAAATCTAAAAAAATTTACATATGTTTTATTTTAATATTTAAATAAACACAAAATTTAATTGAAGTGATGTGAGAAGTTGCAAGAGATTCAAAAGATTCCTAACTATTGCTTTAAAACTTTTTTTTGTTTTTGTTTATTTATTCATATTACAATTCATTTAATGTAAAATATTTTCGTCAACTGTTAATGCTAACAAACGAAAAATATTTTTTGTCGCGTCTACAAACACGACTACCAGAAAGGTCACTCAGTGGAGTGACTTACAGAATATGGGTTATTACCTTAATATCCATATTTTCATGCCGACTTTTGCTATCAATGGTTGATTTGTTCATGCCGCCTTTTTGAATCAATACTTTCCATTCCCGTTGCCAACAAGCTTTGTTGTCACAAAAATTATTAAAAGACATTATTATTAAAACAATAACGTCGGCTGAGAAAGAAAACAGCGTATAACATTTATACGTCGTTATCCGATTTTATCACCATTGGATTCTCCATAGTCGATTCTATAAGTTGAGTTACTTTATATTTCTCTAGCTTTTCATTCTAACATACTTTTTAAATAAAAACGAAAATATTGTATAAAGCATTTTTAGAAACTAATTACTAACAAAATAGCGTAAAATGCGTTTACTTTGTTTTATTGCCAAAACGTAACTTTTTACAAAATTTAAAATAACGTAATGAATTCTTACACTATTTTGGTAGAAAATTTATCATTCAGTTGTTAATTTCAATACCAAATAAAAAAGTGTATGTTACTTTTACACGCTTTTTAAATTTTAATAAAAAAAATGTTTGCAATAAACTGAAAAGTAAAACGGTGTAAGAATTTGATACACTGTTTCATATTGTCTTATACACTACTTTAATTTTGAATTTTGAATCGTCTTCCCTGGCAAACAATGCAATAAAACAGCGTACAAAACAAACGTACATATGTACATTATACTTGTTTAATTTTGTTTAATTCTATATGCATCTTCATGTATAAGACAAATATTTTTAACAAATAAGTATTCTGTTGGATTTTGTTGATCAGTACAGAACTTAAAGTTATAACTTTTTTAATAAGTGAAGCAAATAATTAATAATTTAAGGCAAAATTTTTTAATGATGAAGAAGTGGTAACGTTTTTCGAGAAGTCACCAGAAAATTCTATTACAGACTTTTCTTCTGGCTCTGATGACAATTATGAGCCTAGCAAGAGTTCAGCATCTGAAACGGGTGAAGCGGAACCAGAAAAACTTACAGAATGTTTTATAGACTAAACGTTTGATAATGAAACCATTACATCTACATCACCGGAAACACTACTCGAAAAAATTTTATAAAGTACTAATCTAAGTGAAAATGTAAAAAAGCAATAAAAAAAATTAAAAAAGAAAGAATTCAAAGCAAAAGAACGTTACAACGGAATTTGCAACTGCCAACACAATTGCGTTGAAAAATTTCCTTAAGATGCAAGAATTAATAGTAATAATTCATATTGAAAGCTGGGTGATTATGGAAAGAAAAGATTATTTCTAAAACATACTTTCACACACAAAGTATATACAAGAAAACGACCGCGAATGTCACGAAAAAATTTTACGCCTTGTTATACATTGTATGGTAAAACCGTTTGCAAAAAAGCTTAACTTAAGCATTATAAAATACACATAAAAGTTGGCTAGCATACTTGTAAAAGAATCTTTAATACAAAATTTAATAACTCGTTTCATGTGCGCAATATGAAAACATGATCAATCAATCTTAGTTAGAAACATTTAGTAGCATTTTATCAAAACTTGGCAGAAAAAGCCTCATCTAAAAATAATTTATCTAAATTAAACGAACCAAGCTATTCAGAAGACGAGATTGAAGAGCTGTAATTAATTTTTAAAACTAAGTTTCAAAATTTCAAGTAGAAATAATGTACATTTGAATTATCTTTTATGTTAATATTATTTATTTTTGTTTACAACTTTTCATGTTACATTAATATCGATAAAAATACCTGTTTATATTTTCATACGTTGAGTTAAAGTATGTAATGTTAATTTTGTTTCTCAAATTATATTAATTTTTTACAAAATAAAATAACGTATAAATAAAAATGAAATGGTGTATACCATACAAAAAAATTAAAATGAAACAGTGTATAACTTTCTTCATACAATTTCTACCAAAAATAAAATAGTGTAAGAAGTACCAAGAAATTTCAAACCTCTAATTTTCTAAGATCTACAAAAATTTATTCAATCAAATTTATGCAAATAAACTATTTATTCCCCCAAAAATGTTTAACATAACTTTTCAGGATAGTCAAAGATGACAACCGGAAGATTTTAGATTCGAAACTTCATTTTCATTTTGCAAAAAACTTCAAACGCGATTTACTCAAAACTATACCTTTTTTTATACACTGTTTTATTTCTCAGCCGACGATAAAAAGTTGATTTGGACGTTTCGCTGCTGTAATTGCTTAACGACATATATACTCCGCCGTTGCCGTTCATTGCTTTGGTTTGTTTTTACAGTTAAGGCGGGAAATATTTTTTGTACAAGTCTATATCTGACATGTCTATTGCTCACTCTAATTTTCACTCTGAAATTTGAATTGTGCTAGATCTCTGTTGCTGAAAGTTTTTAACGTAAAAAATTGTTTAATTAATTTTTAGAGTGTGGATTGGTACATTTTCTTTCCAGTATGAGCGATACATCAGTTATTGGCAAAATACATTCTGTATACTGCAAAAACTTTGTGTAACCTTTTATATTTTATCAAAATTTTATCTAAAATTGTTTTATTTTTAGTACTTATGTTGAAGTCAGAGTTTATTGCGGAGAATTTTTAAATGTAATAATTGGACCGAATGGGTCAGGAAAATCAACTTTGGTCGCAGCAATTGTTTTGGGTTTAGGAGGTAATCCAAAACTTTTATCTCGATCTTCTAGTGTTGAAGAGTATATTAAAAACGGACAAGCAGAAGCGAATATTGAAATTGATATATACAAAAACTCACAAAAAGAAACAATAACATTCGGGAGAGCTTTTAATAGTACAGGAAAATCGACTTATTCGGTAAAACATATTCAAATAAAGTATATTTTCTAATATTTTGTACGTATTTTTAAAATTAATTTTGTATTCGAAGACAACAGGAAAACAGATTTTTTACTTTGAATAATAGTTTCTTAGTCTTTCATAAACCGACTACCTTTAAATTTATTGCATAGAATTTACAAATAAACTTATTTCAGGTTGATAAAAGCACAGTGTCACATAAAAATTATTTAGCTGCTATACAAAATTTCAACATACAAATAAACAATTTATGTCAATTTCTTCCTCAAGATCGAGTTCAAGATTTTGCTAAAATGAATCCTAATGAAATTTTAATAAACACAATGACTTCTGTTTGCTCACAAGAAGTTGTTAAAAATTTTGAAATGCTTAAAGAATTTCAAAACCAGCAAAAAAATTCTTATAAAGGGCTAAAAGACAGTTTGGATAAATTGAAAGAGTTGGAAAACCAAAATGCACAGTATATTTTTAAAAAAAAAAAAAGAATAACTAAAATTTTAATTTTAAATGTTTATATCAGGTTAAAGGAACAGATAGATCGTATGAATATAAGGAAGAAACTACAAAAAGACATCAGCATATACGAAAGTAAAAAGGTATGGTTAGAATATATGGAACTAGAAAAAAATGTCCAAAACACTGAACTGGAGCTCAAACAAGCTAATACCATTTTGAAAAAACATAGGGATAATTTTGAAAAGGCTAAAAAAAAATCTCAAGATATAATAAGACAAAAGGAATCAATGTCCACATTAACAAAAAACGAGGTAGGATATATTTTAAAGATGGAGGACAAAATTTATTCCTATTTATTCTAGGAAAATAAATTGCGCCAGATCTCTTCTGAGTTAGACCAGCTGCAAAATACTTCTGAACAATATGAAACAACAATTACAAATTTGAAATCTAGTTTTGAAAGGAAGAAAAGTGAAATTATTGAGAGAGAAAAGGATCTAAAAACAGAAACACTTCTTTTAACTGCTCATGCGACCGATTTGAAATCTGCTTTAAATGATCTAGGACCAGTGGAGGAAAGAAACATTAAAACAGCTGAATGCGAGCGGCGAATAATGCAGTTGAAATCTGAGCACAAATCGTTAATGGAAGCGCATAGAAATATCAATCGAGAACTAGACGAACAATACACTCCAGAATTAAAAGTAGTTAAAAGAAAAATCGCCTCCTTAGAAAATATAGGGGACAGGAAATTAACTGTAAGTAAAATGTCGGGTTTTGTTAAGAAAATATATAATAGAAAAGTTTATTTTAGAATCTAAGAGATAACTATGAGCATATTTACGAAGCCACAAATTGGTTAAGGCAAAATAGAGATATTTTTGAAGCACAAGTTTATGAACCAATGGTACTTGAGGTATACTTCACAAATTAAATTTCTTTTTCTTTTTCAGTAGACAAATTTTTAATTTTAAAGCTAAATATTAATGATAGTAACAATGCCAAATACATAGAAAACATAGTCAATGCAAGGGATCTGTTAGCTTTTACTTGCGAATCTAAATCAGATATGAACAAACTTGTACAACACTTGTGTAATGAGAAGGGTTTGAAAGTAAGTGTTGTACATTGTGATGCCGCCGAACATTGTTTATATCGTCCAGATAAAAATATAGAAGAATATAGGTATTAAAAATAGATTTTCACACTTATAATGTGATATTATATCCGTCTATTCGTTTCAGAGCATTAGGTTTCACATCTTATTTAATAGATATGTTGAGTGGGCCGGCACCAATCTTAAATTATTTATGTAGAGAATATGGTATACACACAATTTTAGCCGGAACTGAGGAAGTTAATAATCATACGCATGAGATTCCGAATCAGATCAGAATATATTTTGCAGGAAATGATAAAATAACAACAATGTATTCAAAGTACACAAAAGAGAAATCTACTATGAGGACTTCAATTAATGATAGAAAATTACTTTCTGTTGGGGTAGATGAGAAAGAAATTAACAGCCTTAAAAAAAAGTAAATCGCATTCCTTCTCTAAAAATGTTAAGAAATAATTATTATATACATATTACAACTATAGATACAGAGAAATAACTAAGAAGTCGGACGAATTAAAAAATAGACGTGCAGAAATTGAAACTAAACTAAACATGATAGAAGAGAATCGAAAAGAAATTATTAATGAAAAAAACATTCTCGATAAAAAGTTGGTGGTAATAGAACAACTAAAAGAGAAAATAAAAAATCAGAAAGCTAAAATCGAACGGCTTCAGAGCAGACCAAGCGGTAACGAACAAAAAAATAGAATTTAAAAATAGTATAAAATAACAACAGCATTTTTTTTTAGATCTTCAAGAAGTAGAAAAAAATTTCAAAGATTCTGCAAGGGAATCAGTTAGAAAACTATTGCAACTTGAACAGAAAAAAATAGGGATCTTAAACAACTATCAAGAAACAAGTGAAAAATATAATATGAATTACACAAAATTACAAATTTACAAAAATGAAACTTCTAACGTGGAACAAAAGATAGCTGATTTGAAAGAAAGTTTTGATAATTCATATGTAAGCAAATATTCATAGAATAAATTAATGCCGTAAAATGTAAATTATGTAAATTGTACTACCACAATTAATAATTCTAATTACTTAATTCTTATAGCAATTAGTGGAAACAATAAAAACCACTTTCGAAAAGCTTCAAGAGCAATCTAAGAAAATAGAAAAAAGTGTTAGAGAACGTTGTAAAGGCAAAATTCCTACAGAAACTGGTTTTCCTTTTACTCCAGTGTTTTCTCAAATTTCCAATGACTTAAGCGAATTAACTGATAAAATTCTTGAAATGCAATCAAAAGTTAATTGTATGCTTGCAGAAAACCAAAATGTACGTATTGTGCTTCTAAAAATTGTTTAGTTATTTTTAATGCAATTTTAATTTATAGATTTACGATGAGTATCAAGAACGAGAGGATGAAATTAAACAACTAAGGTCGGAAATAGAATCCAATACAAAAAGTGCGTCCCAAATTTTACATAAAATGCAAGAAATTCATGAAGAGTGGTTTCCTATTATAATGGGCGTAATAGAAACCATTAATTCAAATTTTGGCAATTTCATGTCATCTATGAATTATGTTGGAGAGGTTCAATTGTTTAGAAAAGATGATGTAAGATATTGAAGTTGACATTAATTTTTATACTGTTACATATTAATTGTATTATTTTATCATTTTTAGCATGATTACGAAAGCTATGGTATACAAATACTTGTTAAATATAGAAATGAAGCAAAACTTCAAGCTTTAGATAGATTTGTACAATCTGGCGGTGAAAGAGCAGTTGCAATTGCAGTATATACTCTGTCTTTGCAACGAATTACGCACGTTCCATTTAGGTAAAATCTTTGAAGGTTCCCTGATTCGAATTTAAATTATTAAAAATATTTTGTTTTAGATGTGTAGATGAAATAAATCAGGGGATGGATGCAAATAACGAACGCAAAGTTTTTGATATGTTAGTTGAGGAAACTTCTCAACCAGGGCATTCCCAGTACTTTTTTATTACCCCAAAAGTAAAATTCATTATAAGTTTTTAAATTTGTGCTTTTAATGTTTCTTTTTTTCCCATCAGCTTCTACAAAATTTATCATACAATGAATATATGACAATACATATTGTATACAATGGTCCTTTTATAGCAAATGATGAAGTATTCCTAAATTTTTAAAATTATGTTAATATTAATATATTAAAAAATAAAACTACATCTTTTTCTTTTACAAAACTATACTTGTACATATTTGTATTATTTTTTCCCTTTTATTTAATTTATTTTGCAATAAGAGTAAATGTTTGTACATTCTAGCGTAAGTATGTTTAGATTCCTATCTACATATTGTATTAAATTTTACTTAAAAACCTACATATTTTAATGCATTTTCGAAAAGCTGGTTCACTTCATGTTAACATTTGTATTTGTAATCAATTCTAAAATCTTCCATGGAGGCTATTTCGTAATCTTCACAAGAATTAAGATGTTCTGCTAAAGTTCCCTCTTTTATAAAATGCTGTGCGTTGTATGGGCATTGTTCTAAAGGATCACCTCTATAATTAAGTTGGCACTTGATAATGTGGCGAGGCATACGAAACTTAAGTATTCTATGCGCTTTGTTGAAGGGGCACGTAACATATTCGTCCATGATTTTATTTCAAAAAGAAACGTGCAATGTTTAATTGAATAATTTAATGCAAAACTAATTTTGAACTTCTTTTAAATTTAGGTTCACTTAAGTCTTTGTTGTCCAGTTCTCCAAATGTAATAATTGTACTGATAATAAATAAAACATGAAATTGCAATGTTTGTTCAATTTTTACCGAAATAAAAAAGCCAATCAATCACGCACTCAAATCACATTACAATCGCTTACAATTTGATTTGCAATCGTAAATCACAAAATTATATTTTAGGTACAGTTTACATTTGACAGTAGATCTGATGGTATAATGTAAAGTAATTTCTAACATTTACCGAAAAAGCCTGATGCCAAACAAAGTTTACATACAGGACTTCATATGTCTTATATATTTATATAGGACTTTATATGTAACTCAGATCAAATATTATTTACTGTTTGAAAATATCGCAAAATCTACAATTTAATCTGAGTTTAGTGAAAGCTGAATATGTAACATCATACTTTATCTGAGCCAGCGTTTATAAATGAAGCAAAATTGTATGACTTAGTTTGAAATTATCAAAATTGAAAAGATATTTGATTTGTAAATAAACCAATCGAATTAAAATGAATCGTAGAAGAATAGAATCTTGTCCTGAATGATGAGACTGATGAGTGAAATGGAGAATAACAAATTTTCGATATGTTGTTGACTAGTTGTAACATTTAGTTGGCCAATTTTGCTTGATTGAACAGAGTTCAGACTACTTACGAAAAACTTGTCTGAACAGAGAACGAGCCCTAATGATCGCCGACTCAAGTTCATGGATAAACACTATGTCAGCAACCTTTCCTTTTCGCTAGTGGCCTACCGCTAGTGACGTACATCGAAAAAGGTAAACTCAGCTGTTTTTCAATTATTATTTGAAAAAAAGAAACTGAGCTTGTATTTATGTTTACATATTACTTTATTGTTAAACATCAACTTTTAGACAGAAAAACTTACTTTAATTCATTATAAATGGAAAAACATGACCAAAGCGGTAAACGGTAACGGCGACCGATTTCCATTGTTAACCCAGAAAACACACATGGAAACAGATAATGGGAAGAAAAAATCGCCAGCTGCAAAATAAGAACTTAGGTTATTTTACTGTCAGCGTTTAAATTCACAGCGTTAATTTTCAGACAGCACCTTTATTCCCAGAAAAAAGTATAATGATTGCTTCGGTTAATTATCAACTTCTTTTGACAAATGAATAATGATGATGAATTTTTTCCTTTTTTTTTCTTATGAAACTTTACAATTAATAAGTCAGTCTGGTATAAAAGTTGAAAAAGAGAAACAATGACGTAATTTCTGAAAAATTGAAATATTTTTACTTTTTTCATGTTTTTAGCTTAATTTTAATACACAATTTTACATCCCTGAACAGCTGCGTTTTTCTTTTATTAAATTTTCATCAATAGACCACAAATGACAGCTGACATTTCAATTTCAACGTCAGTTAAAAGAAGTAAAGAAAAATTTGTAATTTGTGCAAAATAAATTGATAAATTTTTATAAAATAAATTGAGTGCTTAACGGTTCAATGTTTGTTTATTAACAAAAATTGTAAAGATTTTTAAAAATTCTTATAATTTAAATAAAGGAAAAAGGAACAATTATTGTAGTGAAAGTGAAAATTAAAGAGGTACGTAAGATACCCACTATATGTATATACTTATATGTATGAATATGTAATATGCACCAACAATATAAATTGCTATCGTTTATTAATTCTGTACATAATCAGTAAAAATCTAAGTACCTACCCTACGTTGAACTTCAATTATACCCGTTTTATATTAAATACTTTTATAAATTTTATTTTTTATAAATTATCGTGTTTTATGTCTTTAAATATCTTTACTTAAAAGCATATTTACTTAGAATTACTCTAAACATATAATGTGATAAATTGTAAAATGAAATTTTACTAGCAATTTGTGGTTAACAAAATTTTTAATTAGTTGTTTATTCCTTTAATTTTTGTTTTTTCAGGATATGAAATATTTTATTTAATTATAATCATTTAAAATTTAGTAATTATTTATTTATCTGTAAAATTTTCTTTAATTTCAATTTTAATTAACTCATAAACACATTTAATCTGTGGTAATGTTTTGAAAAAAAATTCTTAGCTTAAACGGTTTACTTTAAGCTGGTGTTCTACTTCAAAATTTATCTAAACAAAACAAGTAAACATTATGATGTACATAGTTAAACTATGCAAACTAATTCCCATTGTTCTGAATAAATTTTTAATACCACATTCATCTATAAAGAAAAAGCTATTTGTTTATATAAAAAAAATTTATTATTAATTTGTTTAAATATTCATTTTACTTTTTATGAATTTCAAAATAAAAACATGATATTGGCCAATGTTATCATAATAATTTTAAAATATTCAGAGTTAATAGAAGTCGTTTCGCAAAAACAAATTCCGATTAGAAACTAAAATGTCATATAGGAATGTTTTAAGTCAATTTAATTGTTTATGATTGTCAAATATGACAGCAATTGACTTGTATTCTAGTTCCTCAGCGGCAACATTTTCATATTTTTATTGGAAAAAAAAATTGAAACGTGCTCCCTTAATAAATATTTTACAGATTCAATTTTTATTTAATAAGAAAAAACGAAATTTGAAAAACTTTTTTTTTCTAATATAATTAAATAATTTTGTATAATTTAATTTTATTTTAATTGCAAAGAAAACGGACGAAAGAACGCATTAGCTTGTTCTCAGTTGGTAATACTAAGTATAAAATATTCAATTAATTTTATTAATAGGTATTTTCCAAGTTATTTTTTTTATATGCCGGTAAATTAATATTGATAAATTTAGAAAAAAAGCATTGCAAATGATATCCGGGAAATTGTCTCAATGTATTTATTAAATATGTAAATTCAATTAAAATGTGTAGTTGTTAATATTTAAATAGTTCGTTTAAAATATATTCAAAGACTTTAATTATCTATTCATTTCAGGATAACGAGGGAAAATCACCAATTAAAAATAAGTTTTATAAAAAAAACTGTAGAATGAAATTTTAACTGCTGTAGGGCACAACTGATTACAAAATTGCACACATTAACCTGAAGTTAAAAATTGCAAATACAAATAAATATAAAAAAGGAATATTTTACTAATTTAAATAACTTGAAATTGAATTTTAACATTTGAAAGAAGAAAGATAATTTTAATCAGTATGGCTGATAAAACTGAAACGCGAATGAATTTAACAGCTATTAAGAGAATTGATCCTTATGCTAAAGATATAATAGATTCATCTGCTCATGTTGCTTTTTATACATTTAATTCAGAAGAAAATGAATGGGAAAAAACTGATGTTGAAGGAGCATTATTCATATATAGCAGAAATGCTGAGCCATTTCATAGTATATTTATAAATAACCGTATAAACACGAATTCTTTTGTGGAACCAGTTACTGGTCATTTAGAATTGCAGTCACAACCACCATTTTTATTATATCGCAATGAGCGTTCTAGAATTCGTGGCTTTTGGTTTTACAATAGCTCCGAATGTGATCGAATAGGTGAAATTGTTAGACGTTTAATTACTGAATGCGGTTTAAAAAAGGATGGCACCAACATACAAAAGAATTTAGATGTAGTGATACCCAGCAACAATCATATTAATATATTTACAATGTTGAGTAAAGCTCAAGAAGAATTTAATAATTCAGCAAACACAAATCCAGTTGTCATACAAACTCAAGGTGGTGGTAGTATCGGAAATATGTGTATGCCAACTGTACAAAATTTGGAAAGTCGAACTTTGTTTTCAAGCATTCAACAAAATAATATTAATAATAACATTAATAATAATAAAGTTCATTCAGACCTAACATCACAAAGCGTAATGAATTTTTTTGCCAATGCAAAACCTGCGGTAACATCAGAAGCTCCTCCATTATTTCAAAGACTAATATCAAGTCCAGTACCCGTAGAACAAATTGAAAAGCAGCAAAGAGCATCGACACCACATGAGAGCGGTAGAGTCCCATCACCAATATCATCAAATATTTCTATGGGAATAAAGGGTATTGAAAATCATTCACCCAAAATTAGAAACAATAAAGATATTATATCGCCGCTTATTAATTTAAATATTAATGAAAATGATAAAGGAACTGCTTCAACAAAATTGCACACTGATTTAGATCTACAACAAAAATTAATTCAAAAATTGGCAAATACTTATACTGCCAATTATCCGCCACCACCACCGGGTATTATCAATCATCAAAACAGTAATAATTCTGGTAATAGCAATAAACCAGAATTAATGCCACCCACAATGTTTCTTTCATCATCATCTAATGAGGCACCACCACCACCATTATTACCACAAACATCTGCAGTAATTAATAACTCAAATAGAATAATAGCTTTTCCATTGCGAGATGCCAATAATATTCAACCGGTAACGGCTCCAACACCTGTTGGAAGACCAGAACCTCTAACACAAATGCAGTTGCAACAAGCAATGCATTACCTCTTACAAAATGATCCGGATTTTATTAGGAAATTACACGAAGCTTACTTAAAATTTTTTAATGAAAAAGTTTCAGTCTAAAATAAAATTTAAATACTTAAAAAATATGTTTAACCGTAGAAAGAAAAAAACACAAAAAAAAAACAAAACTATTAATTAAAATTGAAAAGGAAAAAAAGATAATTACTGTTTTCTTTATTAAGTAATTAAAGTTAGAAAAAAATTTTTTGCACTAATTTTTAGTGAGAGGAAATTTGTTGAATTTTAAGAAAAATATTTTTAGAAAGTTTGGCAAGCAGTAAATGCCCCAAAGCTTTTTTTTTTTGTAAATAGGTTAAAAAAATTTTTTAAATTTTGGTGAAAAATACAAAATTATTTTATAATTCTTCAATAAAAAAGCATAAAACAAGTATTGAGATTTATTGAAATTTAAAAAAAAAATCTTTCATTCTACGGATAAACAGCTTACCGTGGAAACCAAAAGGCAATTTCATCTGCCTCCTAAATTGTCTAAGCGTAAAACTTTGAAAGAAAAAAATGGCAATTCAATTACTTTATAATGGATACTTTTATTATTTAATTAAAATTTGTTTTAGGGCTTAATTATGTACTTCTTGCATGGAGTAAGAAGAAAGCGAATGAGTGTTATGTTTGTATAATGTAATATTCAAGTTAGAATTATTGTATTCGGTTTTTACCAAAATCTGTATATAAAATGTAATCACCACAGCTACCTATTTTGTTTTCAAAAGTAGAAAGTTTAGTATATTTTAGAAATTGAAAAATTTAGTTTAAAAAATGAGGAATTTTATTGGGATAATCACGTACATATTCAGTTATAAGTGAATATAAAATGTGACTAAAAAAGAGAGATGAATAATAAGGATGTGTCAAAAAGAAAAAAGCCAATTTCGTTGATTTGCAAATGAATACGTGTGAGTTAAATAATTGCTTTGATTCAAATTGTTTGCTCACCGAAGTTCCCAATTTTTCATTTTGAAACAGAGTGGTTATTAATAAATATATGTATGTACAAATAACTTAGCTTTTGAAACCTTTTGAAAATTAATTTTGACCTGAATTCAAAATGAAAAACAATACCTTTAAATAATAAATTTAATAATAGTTAAAAGTTTGGGCGATCAAATCTTGAAATCCTTTCATATACTACATCCCATATATCTTTTATAATACCCCCTGTATATTATTATAGCATCAATTTTTAGTCAAACGCTTTTTCTGGTTTTTAAAAAAATCAAGCTGCACTTATATTTTGTTTAAATTAGTTATTATTATTCCTTTATTGTGATGATTTTTTAATTAAATCTTACAAGAGAAAACAACGTAAAAAAAAATATTATGTTCACATTAAAATTTTTAAAATGTAAATTTCAAATTGGTTTAACAAGCACATGTTGCACACTTTTTGCTCCATCAAAAATAATCAAAAAATAAAATTTTATTATCAAAAGCTGTGTTTACACGACAAACAGTGTTGGCAAGGTGAAATAAACATATGTCATTGTATGAATAAAATGTAATTCCTTTGATATAAATTCAACGTGTTTGGCACACGTAATATTCACGTAAAGTTAACTACGTAAAATTTTAATTCCCGAAAATCAACTGATTTTATATTTTGTTCGTTTTTAAAGCTGTACAGAATTCAAATTCTACATTCTGTAATGCAAGGCACAAAATATTGAACTGTCTTATTAAAAAGTTTGCTTAAGTTGTTTTTTAATTTTGGCGTTGAGTTTAAATGTATAATCATTGTTCCATAAATTTTATATTGCTGAAAACATTTAAAATTAATTTTAATATAAATGAAAAGTTAAAAATTTTTCAAACTAATATTACTTAAGCCATAAATTTGTAAACGCTTAAGATATTTAAAGGCAGAATTGAAATTAAAAATAACGCAACGTTAATTTTACTTTGCGTTTTTGGTATAACGTTGTGGAAAAAGCATGAACAATGAAATAAAAGAAATAAAAAAGCGAATGTTATCATCATTTTTGAAAATAAAAAATAATAAGCCTTGAATAATGAACTAGAAATACCAAAGCAAAGAATATCTACTTTCCCGTTCGCATCGAGTATCAAACTCGTAACAGGAGCCAACTTATTTTTTGAACTGGTTCTCACTATGAAATAAGTGTAATATGCCAAAGATTTTGATTTAAAACACAAATTAAAGAAATGTTTTAAAACATTTATTTATTTGAAATATTTCAAATATCATCACTGTAAAAAAGAAAATTAAATAAAACTCATTAATTTTTTTTTCTAGAAAAATGTCAAATGAATTGTTAAAATTAATAAAAATATATGCAAATGTTTAAATTAGACTAAAAATTTAATCTATTATACTATCATATATAAATTCATACTTTTGTTTAAAGGGATATAATAGAAGCTTTTGAATGTGGTGAAATTCGAAATTGTGGTAAAATAAATGGTGAATTTTAATTTTAATCTAAAAATAACTTTTATAAAAAACTCAAAGACGTTTGAAAGTTTACTCTACATGAAATTATAAAGTTAAGATATTTTTTTTTTGAATTTGGAAGTAAAGTAATAGCAATAGTAAAGTAAATTAAATAATACAAAACAAACATATATGTATGTATAAATGTGTACAAATGTAGGTATATATAATAATAAAAAAAAAGAAAAAATAATTTGCATAATAAAAGTTTGGTTTGTCATTTTTGTATTGAAAATTTTTGTAAAAAGTTCAGTTTGTTTCGCAAGTTTGCTTGAAGTGTTTGGAAGTCATAATTGTATTGTTAACGGGTGCGGAATTTTAAGGAAATAAAAAAATTTGTTATTTCACTTAAAATTTTTTATTATTTTGAAAAAAAAAAAAAAAAATAAAACAAAGCTACCTACACTATAAACAAAAATTTTTTTCTTAATTTCAAAAATAAAAGTGAATAATAAAATATAAATAAAAGATGGCCGTACAAACTGGAAGATTGCTCTTAAGAATTGTTGAATTGGTAAGTGATGAAACGTAAATACATACATACATATGTAAATACCTGTAGAGTATTGATATCACCTTTATAATGAATTATGATGTTGGTTATATACAATTCGAATTCATTTTGTTGGTTATCAATGAGGATAAATTTATTTATTAGTGATTTAAATTTTCGTTATACATATGTATGTACGTAGATAACTATGATGTACAAACATTATATACGCAAGAAAGTATATGTACCTATGTATGAACTTTGTATAAAATTGACCCTGAAAGAAATCAAACAATATTATCAATTTAGGTCTCGATCATAAAATGTAAAAATTTAATGGCCAGTGATGTCCGTAACTATTTTGACTGCATTAAACTATTAAAACAGAATTATTATTATAATATTATTAAAATATTAATCAGGATGGAGTGTATAAATTTTTTTAATAATTATTAACTCGTCATTTATTGTGTCTTTTACAAGTGATTTTCCGAGATTGAATTTATTTATTAAATTAGTAAATTCTTTTTAATTTTTACAATATTAAAATGAACGAGCAACAACTTAAATCAGTAATTATTTTTACTTGTTAAATTAAGTAGGCGAGATAATTATTAGGACCTATTAATTTTAATTTTTAGTAGTTTAATACATATGTATGTACATAACAATAGATACCTATAAGCAACGTACTTTTCAAGGAACAGATCATTTTCTTATTTCAGAATGTAAAATATTTAAAATTAAATTAACTATTCGCTTTACATTTTATTTGTTTTATTTCATTACAAGGAAAAATTTGTAAAATTGTACACATTTTTTAAAGTTTATACAAATAAAATTAAGATTAAGTAGGTACTTAAAATGGGGTTGCTACGAGTAATAAATTAAGTTAAAATTGTGCATAATTGTTAACAATATTGCTCTCATCTTTCAAGATTTTCATATATGACACACTTCTATTTAGTTTAGTTAACTATAACATTATGTTACCATTTTGGTTTGATAATAAAATCCACCAACCTACTTATTTCAATATACATATGTATGTATAATATATAAAATGCATATATGTATATGTACGTAACTGTACCACAAATATAATTTCCAAAATAATTTATGAAATTTCTTTTTTGTCAAATAAGCACGGATTATAAGTACTAGTTCTAATACTAGTTTATTATTTATATTCATACATAATATGTTTGAAAAAGTATACATACATACATACGAATGTAGGATAAAATATTAATAAGAATATTTTTCTTCACTCTAATCATTTGTTTTCATCTTCGTATCATTTCTAGGTTGCTACTGTAGTAAATACGTAATTTGGTCATTTGGTATCTAGATGGTAAATAATTCGATGGTACCTACGTTACCCTAAGATCCTTTTATGCTCTATTTGTATTTTTTTTTATAAAACTGTTAATCGAAAATCGAACTTAGAGTTTTATATTTTATATTTGAACAACAGAAGATTTGAAGATAGGAAATAAAGAATTATTTAGGTGATACAGTTTTTAAATGTTTTCAAAAATGTTGGTATTTTACACTTAGTACTTATAAAACTTACTATTATTTTAAATTTTGAAAAATTTATTTATAGTTCTATACTTTCCTTGAATTATTATGGCATTTTCATTTATTTTTATTTAAAAAATGGAAGGTACCATTCAAAAGTTATAATTTTCTAGTTGTATAAACAACTTTCCTGTGAGTGAGTAGATCCTGTTTTCTCGAGTTATTTCTTTTATTTCCTGCTTGTTTTGTGTATTATTTTTTTGTTACACACCTTCATATCTTATGCAAACTTATATAATAATATTGATGAAATATAAGATTTTTCTTAGATTTATTAAATTGGTGAATGTATATGGATTGAGAAACTTTGTATGTATTTTATCTACTCTACATAATATTTATTCTTTTTTCGATTTTCTGGAAGACAAATTATCCTTATTTTGTTATTTGCAATAGGTTTAATACTTTGTTGTATGTGTGCTTTTTGATTAATATTGCTGCCTCTCCTTGGCCTTTATTTTTTCTGTTGTATTTTAGTAAACTTATATGAATAATATGAAACTTACAAGAATAATTTTTTTTTCTGAAATCATCTTTTATAATGATATTCTATTTCAACGTTGTATTTGGTTAAAATTATACATGTATACGCGTACGGGGTACATACATAAATGTAGTAACGAGCATACTTAAATTTATGGTTATGAAAGTACATAAGGAACATAATATAATATTACTGTATATGTATATTATTCACTATAGAATATGAATTCTCTATTCGATCCCGAAAAAGGTAGGTAGGTAGTTAAAATTAAAAGAAATAAGCATAAAAAAAAAATGGATAAAAGTTATGTTTTTGAAAGTACGATGATGTCATTGCCAAATGTTGTTATGCTATAATATTATACATAATAACATGGTTTCATACACACTATTGATAATATGTATTGTGTATCTTGACTGTACTTTTGCGTATATCCAAAATACTTGCTTATATTATAGCTATATAATGAATGAATGTGTATTATATAAGCACACAAATCTTCCTATAATGCCTTCCTATACATTTATACTACATAATGTAAGTACATATTGCTTTGATATTGTATTAAAGCATTTTTAATTTAATCATTATTCCATTTTAATAAAATTCCTGTCTATCAAATTATGTCAGTGAGAGAATAATATATTTGAACTAGGGAATTTTTTTGGGGAAATTCTAAAAAAAAATGGTTAAAATTTTTGAAATCCAGGGATGCAAAACTAAAAATACGAAATACGTAACATTAAATTTTTTTCCTTTTGTAATTATTACACAATTGCGTTGCAGATTTATAATCTGGTTTTTTCTAGTTAAGATTTATTTACATGTAAAATCCATTCTTCATGTGTATTTAGTTTGAGTTTAATCAAAATTTGATGAAAGTTTTATGTGTAAACAAACATAAAAAAATGAAAAAAGAAGGTTTCTTGAATTAAAGTCATGTTTGATATCTGAATAATGAAGAAATGTTTGATATCTGATAGCAAGCCTTATATTAAAATTAAAAATTTTGTTATTATTCCGTAACATCATTTTATTATTTTGTAATGTTAGCGTTTTCCACCACTGTCAAGCATGAATATATATTAATATTGTGCGTGTTGTAACGGTAGTAGGGTGATGATGTGATGATAATGAATAATTACATTTTTAAAATTAAATTCAACATACTTTCATACATACTTGTATATGTACATATGTTTTTCCTATAAGTTATGCCTATGTTTTTTACTTATTTAATTTTTCTTAGGTCATTTTAGATTAAAAACAGCGAAACAAAACATAAAAATAAATATTTTTTTTTTTTTTTTGGTAAAAATATACTGTTTGGTATGATGATGACATCATACCCAACTTCGAAAATTCAAAACAAAAAAATTTTTTTCTTTTACTTTTTATTTTTTTTTTTTTGTTATTGTTTGCGATGTATGAAACTTTTGCTTCTTTTATTTTTTTTTAAATTAAGTACAATGTGAATATATTTGAGCATTTATGTATATGTATATATACATAATGTACGTACATACAATTTATAGTTCCTATAAGATTGCCTTACTTTTGTTGTGTAGATATTAAAGTGTAATATTCACGCAACATGTTTTTTTATGGATATTTTACTTTGATTACATGCATACATACATGCGTACATACATACATATATACATTCATACAATTTCATTTCTTGGTTCTTTTATAGTTTTTTTTTTTTTTTTTAACTTAAATTAATGTGTCTTTTGTCTACATAAAAAAATTTTGTAGTCACGACGGTTTTTCGATTTTCATTTTTGGGGTATACGAGTATGATTTTTATTTCGTCATAAAGACTGTCTTGTACAAGTTTAGTTACTATTTTAAATCGTTTAAGTGTAATGAAAGTAGTTACAGTGAATTTAATCCAGACATGTTTCAGCAATTTCTCTATTATCAAATCAGTACATATTTTTCAGGACAAAAATTTTTCTTTTGAATTGGTAAAAGCTACATAATTTAGTAGGTAGTCTGTCTTGTATATGAGTAATATTGAATACATTAATTAATTTAAATTGTCTGTCAAAAATTGGGTAAAATTGAGTAAAATTTGAATTTAAACTCAATCAGATTTTCGAGATTACAGTATTCATCTTCTTATCAAAAATATTTTGGTAAAATTTTTTAGGAGTTTTTCATTATAATTTGTTTTTTTTTTTTTTTAGAGTTGTCCAAATTAAACCAAATTTTGCTAAATCGTAATAGATTAGAATACGATTAATCTCACTTGATGTTGATTTTTATTTGCTTCAGTTTGAAAATAAGTCACAATTTAGCAATTGTTAAAAGATATACATATGTATCTACTTATTTACATAGTGTATATGGAATAGCCCGAGAGTATGTGCAATAGAAAGTAGATAGGTAACACGCTCATCAACTTTGGATTGAATGAAAATCGGCATTTAATATAGAAAATTTACAATAAATGGCATTAATTTTTTACAATAAGTAAAATTCGAAAGTAATTGGCTTGACCTAATTTCTATGGTTATACATGTAGGTGGTGGTATATGCACATACCTATTATGAAATTAGCAAATACTAAACTACTACCAATGCAATTAAACACCCATATTGCCTAACCTCTAAATGCATGCACTCCAATTAATGGAAATTGACTTAAATTAAAATTATTAATACTAAATGAATATTTAAAATTTATGTTATCATACAATCGATACAAAATAAATTAATAGAATGGCCCGAATATTGTCAGTACCAAGTGTCCTAATAATAGATAAATTAAAGATTACTTTTATAATTTTAATAACAATATCAAAAGGCAGGTACAATTAAAATTTGGAATTGAAATATATTTATACATTGCCATAGGTATATACCAGAATACAGCCATACATACTAACTAAATACATTGTAACTAAATAAAATTTTATTTCTGATTGGTGTGGTTGAAAAACATCTA